TGTGTGTGTGTGTGTGTGTGTGTGTGTGCGTGCGTGCGCACAGGAGAAGATGCACAAGCTGTTGGAGGTGTATGAGAAGTTGGGCGGAGAGGAGGACATCGTTAATCCAGCCAATGAATTCATTAAAGAAGGCCACATAAAGAAGATGTCGGCTAAGAACGGCACGGCACAGGACCGATACCTCTATCTGGTGTGTCTGTCTGCTCGATTAGGACTCTTTAGCTGTTTATCTATACTTCAAAAGTGTTCTTGCATCAAGGGTTATCATGGTTTGACTTCTTGACACAAAACAAGAAGCACTGACTGACTTGAAGATGAAATTCTTATCATTTACTGATTTACTGTTGTTTCAAACACAAAAGGAGATGTTTAGCAGAATGTTGATGCTGCTCTTTTCCCATACGATGGAATCAACAAAAAAAGAGAAAAAGTATCATCAGAGTTCACACAGAATGCATTTTTGCAGTTAAACAGGCAGTGCAACAAAAAAGGTCTGGCTGAACACCTTTTAACTTGAGTGCTGCGTTTTTAGAATGACATTTCATGCACGAGATGCTGAAAAAGATGCGAGAGCAGTGGTCAAACACATCCATCTAGTGCACGTTTGCATAGAAAAGCAATGGAGTGAAATGCAAAAATGCATACCTTCTGAAGACATATAAATCACAAATGTTTCAATATGCTGCATCAAGATGCATTGCTCCAGATTTGACGTTTAGATATTCCGTAAACTGTTTAAGCTAAAGTCAAAATATGATTTGTGAAGACTTATATGAACTATTAGAGTCATATGGAATCTTGTTATGATACATTTATGCTATTTAAGCTTGTATGCTTTAGTTGTGTGGAGGAGAGCAGCTAACACCATCTGTCAAACTTCTCACTTTATGTTCTGTGGATGAAAGAAAATCCTAAAGCTCGTTCCTGTTATCTGCTCATTCACTTCAGCTTCAAGACAAATGAGAATGAGTATGCTGGTGCTGATGATGTGTGTGTTTGTGCTTCTCCAGTTCAATAACATGGTGCTGTATTGTGTGCCCAAACTGAGGCTGATGGGACAGAAGTTCAGTGTCAGAGAGCGAATCGACATCGCAGGGATGGAGGTATGACTTCAGCCATATGTTCAGCTGCGTTTATGGTTATTTCTGTGTCTTCATCTCGTCATATGCTGGTGTTCTCACGTTGGTTGAAGGTTCAGGAAAACGTCAAGCAGAACGCCCCTCACACTTTCACCATCATCGGCAAACAGCGCTCGCTCGAGCTGCAGGCCAGGTGAACGCACACAGCACTTGCTGTCCAAAGACTTGATATTTCTCAGCATTATAACACTAAGTATATCACAATAATCCCTCTGGTTTTGCTACTAAAGTTTAAATTAGACGCACTTCAAACATCATAGCATGCATACTCATGCAGGCTTGTGGAGACACTTAATGTTGAAAAAGTATGCTACAATAATTGCAAATGTTCACAATGTAGCTTAAATCTTCCTGAAAATATACAGTACATACGAGCTCTTACCCATCAGGCCTGTGTGGAGTCTGAATGTGTGCTTATGTCTGTGTTTGACAGGACGGCTGAGGAGAAGGACGACTGGATAAAAGTGAGTCATTCTCTTTGCACAAATGTTCACTCCAAGTGCACATTCAATACAATTAATCGCTTTTTGACAAGGGTTTCTGGTGTGATTTCAGCACAACTGCAGCTTCAACAGCATCATTGCCGTTTTTCATATTTTTATGCAATTCTATTTCAGGTCAGTTATTTCTGTGTCTTCATCTCGTCATATGCTGGTGTTCTCACATTGGTTGAAGGTTCAGGAAAACGTCAAGCAGAACGCCCCTCACACTTTCACCATCATCGGCAAACAGCGCTCGCTCGAGCTGCAGGCCAGGTGAACGCACACAGCACTTGCTGTCCAAAGACTTGATATTTCTCAGCATTATAACACTAAGTATATCACAATAATCCCTCTGGTTTTGCTACTAAAGTTTAAATTAGACGCACTTCAAACATCATAGCATGCATACTCATGCAGGCTTGTGGAGACACTTAATGTTGAAAAAGTATGCTACAATAATTGCAAATGTTCACAATGTAGCTTAAATCTTCCTGAAAATATACAGTACATACGAGCTCTTACCCATCAGGCCTGTGTGGAGTCTGAATGTGTGCTTATGTCTGTGTTTGACAGGACGGCTGAGGAGAAGGACGACTGGATAAAAGTGAGTCATTCTCTTTGCACAAATGTTCACTCCAAGTGCACATTCAAAACAATTAATCGCTTTTTGACAAGGGTTTCTGGTGTGATTTCAGCACAACTGCAGCTTCAACAGCATCATTGCCGTTTTTCTTATTTTTATGCAATTCTATTTCAGGTCAACATGAAAATCAATTAATTGACTGCATGTAATGACATTATAAGCAAAATTACATTCTTGACTCGTGCGCTTATTCATATTGTGATCAATTCAACAGTCCACTGTATTCTAAAGAAGAAAAATGCATAATTTCCATCAAATGCAATAACTTGTCTTTGAAACATCTCTTAAAGCCCTAAAACCCTTCAGTCAATTCCTAATTAAGATAATCAAGTCCTCGTGAATGCCTTATTTCACTCTCAGATGTGTCACACTACAGTAGTACAGTGTACAGGTTGTGTGTGGACGTTTCGTGTCATTATTCACTCACGCCCATCTTCTTTCACTCTGCTCTGTGGAACACAAAAGGAGAAATGTACTTTAATTGCATAGAATAGTGTGGAAGGCAATGAAGAGGAACATGAAAGCAACATAAAAGTAGTCCATATGACTCATGCAATATACTGGAGACTGAAATATAAGTCGTCCTTCACTGAAAATCAACATTGACATTTACCCTCGCTCTCCTTAGTGCGTTCGACAGAGAAGTGCAAAAAATGGTTCTTTAGAGTCAGTAAATCTGTGATTCAGTTCACTTGAATCTGTCGTTTCTCAGTTGTGAGCGCACTTGATCATCAGAGCTGAGGTGTGGATGCTCTCCATCTGTTTGCAGGTGATCCTGGCGACGATTGAGAAGCACAAGCAGAACAGCGAGACGTTCAAAGCCTTCAACATCTCCTGTAGCCGTGATGATGAGCACACGCCTGACACGCCGGTAACACATCCCTCATGCACTCAACCCTTTCCAAACTAGCCTTACTTAGTCATGTTTTCTGTGCTCCGCTGTTGTTAGTCACACTGGAATTAAGAACATTTGGGAATGTTCCTTGGTTTCGGAGTGAAATGTGACATGGGCATGATCTAGTGGTCACACTTTAAAAGCACAGTCCTGTGTTTCATCGTCACACAAGCACACGCACACATCATGTGACTCTCCTCTCCTCCTCATGTGTGATTCTGTGGTTTGCTCGCAGGGCCTGTGGAGCAGCACGAGCACATGTGAGGCAGACGGAGCTCAGCATGAGAGGGTGAGACGCACACAGACAGACACATCTGAATACAGGCTAGACGTCACTGTGTTAACCTGTGTGTATGTGTGTGTAGAAGAGCTCAAAGAAACGAGAGAAGGAGAAAGAAACATGCAAAGGCTGCAGCGAGGCCTTCCATTTCACCAAACGCAAACACCACTGCAAGAGCTGCGGCGCGGTACGTGAGTCGGCTGCGTACACACAAACACAGGTTTGATGCGATGCAGTGCGTCCTGACGTGTGCCGGTGTTCATCTGCAGGCCGTCTGTGGGAAGTGTTTGAAGGTGTCGGAGAGCAGGAACATCCGCATGTGTAAGCAGTGTTTTGAAGGCCTGCAGGGAGCTGAAGGGACAGCAGGAGGCGGCACTGAGCCTAAGAAAAAAGTCGAGGTGAGAAACTTTTTTATTTTTTATTTTTTGTCCCACCTGTTTACAGTCGTTTAAAGGAACACTCCACTATTTTTGAAAATAGGCTCATTTTCCAACTCCCCTACAGTTAAACAGTTGAGTTTTACCGTTTTCGAATCCATTCAGCCGATCTCAGTATAGTTCCTAGCCATATCGGCCTAGAAAATCGCAACTTAACACTTAACAATCGTAACTACAGAAGAGTCAAGTTTTAAATAGGAAAAATATAGAAACTCTTTGGTCATTTTTGAGCGAGATGCTAACGGTCTAATCAGATTCAATGATCTATGCTAAGCTAAGCTAAAAGTGCTACCGCCAGACCCGGAGATCGGCTGAATGGATTCGAAAACGGTAAAACTCAACTGTTTAACTGTAGGGGAGTTGGAAAATGAGCCTATTTTCAAAAATAGTGGAGTGTTCCTTTAAGACAGGACTAGTAGGGCTGGGTGATAAATCAGTATTTATTTATTTATTTATAATCAGTATTTATTGAAAACAATCCAAAATATTGATAAAAATATTTTAAATAATTTACAACCTGCCAAAATAAAAGTTCAGTTTAACGTCAGGAAATTATGACAGAAATATATTTCTCTTGTACAGTTGAATGTACTTCTCAAAGTGGTAGTAATAGTAAAAATAATGATCTAATTTATTAAAACATTACATTCATTTATGATGCAGTGCTTTCATGCACATTGTTATATTTTGATTTAATTACATGGCGGCATTATGCAAATATTTCCACATAGTGAGGTAGATATGTGGGGGCGTGTTAGAACGAGCCGTTTTAGGGTGTATCCGGTGAGTCACACACAGTTCTTCCTCAAGAGGGCGCTTACAGCTCAGTCCTCCACTGATGCACACTGCAGTCTTAACATGTGTTTGAGCTCCAATCTGAGTAAACTCACTCAAATCTACTGAGAAAACAGTTCTCACCTGAGAAACTATCTCTATAAGTCATTGCAAGAGTAGTAACAGGTACGTCTGTGTGTTAAACTACACCCCACTACTGACACACTGAGAATTACTTCAACACATCGTACTTTAAGCACTCTACACTTTGATTTCAGCGCCAGATTTTTAACAGTGAAATTGTTGATACTGTTGCAGTAAAAATCTAAATGTTCAAAGTACATTCTCTAATGCAATCAAAATGAATGAACCGCATAATGTCTGTCAGTGTCAAACACACCTCAGGAAGCATGAAGAGAAGGAGAGAGCAGATCAGTAGTTGGTTTGTCTTTAAACAAACGATAGTCCATCTAAAACAACCAGGACTATTGTTGCATTCACAAAAACCACAGTAAGCCATAGAAAGCCAAATCAGCAAATCGTACATTATTTGACTCTTAAATGTGATCGAGCTGAACTCATGTGGACCACATCTACATGTATGTCCAACGCATACAAATATAATGAAATTACTCAATAACTCAGCCGTGAGTGTTTTATATGTTTGACCTGTGTGTTTTAGTTATTGATGCATAAATAAGAGACTCGCAGCCGTTCCAGCTAAAGCTGACTGGTTTGATTATTCTGAAATTCATATTCCTGTCAGAGTGTCTTTCAGTGGCAGTTTTTGTAAATATTTCTAGTGTTAAATTAAATGTCAATAGAGCAATAATTACAGTTCAACATGTGTTTAGAGTGTATTCCTGTGGATGACTGATAATTATTGTTTCGGGTTTTTAGGCCACTGTATCTCGAGAGTCTGTTTAAAATGCTTCCTCCTGAGCTCAGGGTGTTGTTCGCTTTACTGCAGATGTACAACCATACTAGTTTAGTCAGCATATCTTCAGCTGTGTGTGTGTGTGTGTGCGTGTGTGTGTTTCAGAAGCACCTGTCAGTTGCTCAGTCTTCTCAACGGACAGGAAAAGTTGAGGAGTTGGACCAAGAGCTGGGCGGCCATCACTGAAGCACAGCCTCTGCTGCTTTATCAGCAAACCAGCACACAGGTCTGTGTGTGTGTGTGTGTGTGTGTGAGTGTGAGTGTGAGTGTGAGTGTGAGTGTGAGTGTGAGTGTGAGTGTGAGTGTGAGTGTGAGTGTGAGTGTGAGTGTGAGTGTGAGTGTGAGTGTGAGTGTGAGTGTGAGTGTGAGTGTGAGTGTGAGTGTGAGTGTGAGTGTGAGTGTGAGTGTGAGTGTGAGTGTGAGTGTGAGTGTGAGTGTGAGTGTGAGTGTGAGTGTGAGTGTGAGTGTGAGTGTGAGTGTGAGTGTGAGTGTGAGTGTGAGTGTGAGTGTGAGTGTGAGTGTGAGTGTGAGTGTGAGTGTGAGTGTGAGTGTGAGTGTGAGTGTGAGTGTGAGTGTGAGTGTGAGTGTGAGTGTGAGTGTGAGTGTGAGTGTGAGTGTGAGTGTGAGTGTGAGTGTGAGTGTGAGTGTGAGTGTGAGTGTGTGTGTGTGTGTGAGAGAGTGTGTGTGTGCGTGTGCGTGTGCGTGTGTGCGTGTGTGTGTGTGTGAGAGAGAGAGAGTGTGTGTGTGTGTGTGTGTGAGAGAGTGTGTGTGTGCGTGTGCGTGTGCGTGTGTGTGAGCTTGAGTGAGTGTGTGTGTGTGTACGTGAGTGTGAGTGTGTGCGAGCGTGAGCGTGTGTGTGTGTGTGTGTGTGTGTGTGTGTGTGCGTGCGTGCGTGCGTGTGTGTGTGACCTGTCAGATTAAGGTCAGATGGATTTGCGTGACCCTGTCCTGACCTCAGAGCGCCTGTCTGCAGCCGGTGAAACACAGGATAATGTGTTACTAAGTCATGTGTGTCTGTGTCTGTCTGAGCATCAGTTTCTGTGCTCTTCTGTGTGCGTTTTATGGTTAAATCTCACAAATAACATCTTCAGGTTATATTTCACCCCAAAATCATTAGGAAAAACATGAGAAATGCTATTTTGCATCAAGAAAATGAAGCTAATTTCAGGACAAGAACCTTATTCTTATTTTTAATACTTATAATACTTTATTTATCCATTAAATTCAGTACAATAAAGATGACTACAACATAAATGCACTTTACCAATTAATATAATTTAGTAATAATAGTAATATCATGGTTTTTTTTACATAACAGTAATCAGAATAAGATTTTTGGTAACACTTTACTTAAAGCCTTTGTGTATAATGCATTATAAAAGTATTCATAATGTACATTGTAATGCATTATATCTTTTTATAAACAATTGTAACCAAAGTTAAAATGCATTATAATATTTGAAGGTTTGACTATCATGTGTTTTAAATACATTATACTTTCTAAAGTATAGATAATCTATTATAACTGTGGATACAATTATTCATAAGATATAATAATGCATTATAAGGTGCATTACAAGGCATAATTAATGCATTAAAACTACTTTTTATATAAAGGCATTAAGTAAAGTGTTACCAGATACAAAAAATAAAAAAATCAAATGAAAATAATGTCACAATGCATTTTTTTTCTTCATATTTTGTAATGAAATATGACCTGAACATTTCACGAGATTGCGTCGTGTCTTGAGGTGATTGCAGAGCTTCAGTGCTGTGCCTTTGTCATTCATAGGTCTCTCTGGCTGTGACATCAGTGACATGAGAAGAAGAAAGAGTCAGACGTGTTCAGACTGATTCAAGAATCTGAATGAGCGACCGACTGAATGGAGCTCCTGTCACATGCTGTAAAGGGAGGAGCTAACAAGATGTCAGTCACAGCAAGAGCCAATAGGATGCTTTCCCTCTCCCCCTTTATAAAGAACTCCTGTTACTTGAAATCACTTTATCCTCAGCACTTTTTTATTCTTTCTTTTGAAGATCCTTTTACACGATCATTACTCTTTCAGCAGCACTCACACTGTCACGCCTTCATCTGAGTGTGAGAGTGACTGTTTGTCAATGCACTGTTCCCTTCCAGCACTCATGTCTGCTTGTGTTGCACTGGATGAAGATGTTGAGAATGTCTATATAATGTTACGATGAATGTTCTTTTTTTTTTTTTGCCTTTCAGATGTGTTATTAGTTAAAGCATTAAGTGGCTGTTCTTGTGATGCACTGTCAGTTCACACCTTCATGATTCCCTTAGTTTTTTCTTTCTGATTTTTAAAGATGAAGTGAACTGAAGCACAAAGCACATAAAGCACACGTCATATTTCACTCAAAATCAAAAGAAAGAAAGGATATTGTGCATAAAAGAAGCTTATTTTATTTTCCGTATCTCTTCCGTTATTTTCACAGTAATTAAGCACATTTCACATCAAATTCTCATAAATTCTTATTACCGTCATGCATAAGAAAAATAATGATATATTTCAATTGCGTAGTGTTCATACACCGTGGTTTGAGTTAGTTGTATTGCCTTTATGGTGTTGATTTAAAAAAGTAAATTTTTACCATTTTTACAGTAATGAGAATGTAGTAAGAATCACCACTGAGAATGAGGAAAAGCCTAAGCGTCTGCACACATTACACGAATGACAATGAGATGCTTTTAACATCACAGTGAATATGCATGTCAGAATGTAAAAAAATCATAATGGTCCTAAAACGGCTTTATTTTTCACAATGCTACACAATGTCTTGGTTTTTTGGAGTGAAACCCTGTTCCGTTTTCACAACATTCACCCTCAATTTCACAAGACTGGTCTCACGGTGCGTTCATAAACTCTTCTGAAGTCTTTGCTAAGCATCAACATCCATGGTCTGCTGTTTCCTCAAACTGTGTTTTGTACCAACGAGAGATCATTTTCACCTTCTTCAAGAGGATACCCAGCTTTATTGTTTAAGGGCAGATTCCTGTGGCAGGCCACTAAATATTATACCCTCCTATAGAACATTTTCACTATAGACTTTTCAGGTAAAGGTTTGGATGAGAAAACTAGGTTCAGGAACATAGGGAAACTCAATTCCTGCGTCACTTTCCTCTAGCTCTTCATACCGTTTCACCAGCGGCACACTTCTATTTTGTATGCAGCAGTATTGTGATTGCAACAGAAGTACTGTACGCCTGCACACTCAGAGTCCAGTCTGTGAGCCTGGAGGTCGATCATGGTCAACATGTAATGAATGATGTAAACATTGCATTTGCTTCCCTTTTAATATTGTTTGAACCCTTGAAGCAGAACCAGTATTATTAAAAGCATTTTATGTGTACAAAAGCTGTCTTATAGCATATCAATGAATAAAAGAGTATCTGGTCACCGATGTTTATGGGCCTCAGTTATTCATTCAGCTTTATTAAAATGAATGTGGTATTCCAGCTCTAGAAGCACAGTTATCTTCGCAGTGACTGTTCTGAGGAGCAGCTCACACGCTGTCATTGTCGATGTTTCACCACAGGAAATGGATACATCTCTTTCATGAGACACAAAATATTCTCGCTAATCTAAATGTGTGATTATTTTAGTAGTTTCTTGGAATAGGGTGGTACTGACTTCCTGTTTGCAGAATCTTATTTGATCATATATAGATGGATTGTGAAACATATGCTGAGATATGTTGAAACTGATTTTCTTTATTTCATCACTTTTATGACAAAATCTTTCAGGAATAGAGTTTAACATGCTGGTTATTATACAATCATGTTTGCAAAAAAAAAAAGTTAATAGTACAGAGAAATTCATTTCAAATGTATTTGTATAGCGCTTTTCACAATACACATTGTTTTAAAGCAGCTTTACTGAAAATGCATGTGTCTACATTACAATTTAGAGTGATATGTTATCAAAAGTGAATGTGTCCAAGTAATGTTCATTTCACAAATGAACAGTTCAAGGTAATAGAATCATACAGTTAGCTAACATGAATTAATTTCAGGCAGAAGCTCATTAAAGGGGTCATATGATGCGATTTCCAGTTTTCCTTTCTCTTTGGAGTGTTACAAGCTCTTGGTGCATAAAGAAGATCTGTAAAGTTGCAAAGACTAAAGTCTCAAATCCAAAGAGATATTCTCACATGTGGTTGCGGCAAGCCCGCCGGACCCTCCTTCGTCGAATCCGCCGGCCGCGCCGTTCTCAAGGCCGCCCGCCTCCGTTCACTCAAGCCCGCCATGTGTGACGCTGTGTGACGCATTTTATGGAAGACTTGAACTAAAACCTGCTAAAACCTACTCTTGTGAACCTGCAGAGTAGCATACAATGGGTCTGTGCTCAAAGGCTGTTCTATAAAGTTGGGCAGTTCCAACTTTGCAAGGACAGTCTGGCGCTTCTGACTCACAGCCTGTAAATACATTGTTTATATTTAAAGAATTTGCCACTGTTGATTCAGACAAGAGTAGTGCTTGTTTGATCACAAATGCAGAGATGGTTTTATGTTATGATACACAACGCAACGCGTAAAAAGACAGTATAAGTCATTATAATCAGTAATTATGTCCCCACTGGATGCAACAAATGCCTCGTTTATAATGGGTTTTAATGTTTATGTCTCGTTGCTCCGGCCGGACAGGGCATCACAATATGGTAAGGGGCGTAACATTTCCGTCACACGCTTGAGGTATTCAGCCAATCACAACGCACTGGATAGCTGGCCAATCAGTGTACACCTCGCTTTTCAGACCGATGAGCTTTGTAAAAATCGACGCGTTTCAGAAAGGCGGGGCATAGAGGAGCAACAATAATGTACATTATGTGGAAAATAATGTGTTTTTTTAACCTTAAACCACATAAACCCATCGCATTACACCAAATACACAACATAATGTTCTTTTTAGCAACATCATATGACCCCTTTAAAGCGATTATTACAAGTGTGTTCATAATGATTACAATATAGAGAAATTTTGGCAGCTGTGCATGTCAATTCAAGTTGGCGTCATCTGGGGTCCTCGCAGGGGTCAGCATCATCTCTTCACAGGTGTTGGGTATCTGAAGTCTTTCTATGAGGCTGAATCCATGCTGGAGCTGGTGTAATCTCTAGTTACTTCGAGATTAGTCTCAGCCTCAGATGTCACGCCCACGGAACGTTGGCTAAACGTCTGATGCATATGGCACACCTTCAATGCTCCCCGGGCGCCGCAGCAAAAATGGCTGCCCACTGCTCCGGGTGTGTGTTCACGGTGTGTCTGTGTGTTCACTGCTGTGTGTGTGCACTTAGGATGGGATAAATGCAGAGCACTAATTCTGAGTATGGGTTACCATACTTGGCCACACGTCACTTCAGAAAAGTGGAAACACTTCAGGAGTTTCGAAGTCGTCATCGGATTGGTTGAATTATACAGGATTTCCGGGAGACGTGTGTGTCGCATTCTATAATGTTCTGCCTGGAAACAAAGATGCAGTGACGCCAAACCCCCTCACGAAAGAAGAAAGCCATCGTGTTTACAACTGTGACAACGAGCACTTATCAGCATCAATTAAACGCTGGATTTTCAAAAGTATGTGAAATATTTTAAGTTCACGGCACAGAATCTTTAAAATACGTCCAAGAGTTTTACACACCGGTCTGTTATTGTGGCGACATTTTTGTGGCGCCCCGAAAAGTGACACTGAAACTAAACGAACTGTGATTGGTTGTTTGACATGTCGGTCAAACGGCCTCATGGGCAGGCCTTGGCCAAAGAAAGCTGCCATGGATTCCAGACCGTCAGTCTGAAGGTCTAGCTACGCAAGACTACTTCGAGATGGGCATCCCGGTGTAGGAACAGAAAGGTAAATGGAAAAGAATTAGCATAGCTGCTGTTCATAACGTTTCAAGCTAAAAATATGTTTGTGACTTCTAAAAGTCCAGAGTTCCGTGACCTTAAAGAGCGTGATGGATTGTAGGGCATAAGAAGATCAGTTAAATACACAGTAGCTAAACCATTTAGTGCCTTATAGGTCAGTAGCAGAAATTATTCTTGAAGTTTGGATACTGTGACAAAAAAAAATAAAAAATACTTAAAGCCATACTGAAAAAGTTTCCACGTTCAATAATAAGTAATAAAAATAAACTTGCTCAGAGACGTATTCCCTAGTCTCGCTTAGCCAGACCTTCAGACTGACAGCAGAAGGTCTGGGAACCATGGCATGGCCACTTTGAATGGTCATGGACCGCCCAAGAGGCCATATGACTGACAGCTAAAGCAACCAATCAAGTTTTGTTTTGTGCCGCGTCATGTTTAGGGGCATGGAAATGTCCCCACAATAACAGACTGGTGTGTAAAACTCTTGGACAGATTTAAAAGAGTCTATGCTGCAAATTTTACATATTTCACATACTTTTGAAAATCCTGATCCTGATAAGTGCTCATTTTCATAGTTGTAAACACAACAGCTTTCTTCTTCCGTGAGGGGGTTTGGCGTCGTGGCATCTTTGTTTCCAGGCAGAACGTTAAAGAATGTGACACACGTCTCCTGGAAATCCTTTATAATTCAACCAATCTGAATGATGACTTCAAAACTCCTGAAGTGTTTCCAATTTTTGTGCCATATGCATCACTACGTGTCCTCTAGAGGTGATGCAAGGGGTCTACCAACAATTGTTTGAGAAAAATTTAAATGTTGTTTAAAAATATAACATGTGAAGTTCAAGCTAAGCTAAAGCAAATAAGCTGAAGTTCCTTTAAATGTTTCATTGACATTGTCACTCCCACATTGAAATGTATTAAGAAAGAGTGCTGTTCTTAATTTCAGCATAACTCTGCAGACCTGTGGCCATGTGCCTTCGGCCAAATCACAGACCAACAGCATGATTATGAGGGCTGCGCAGACGCGCATGTGAAGATCCCCATGGTGGAGCAGACGGGACCGAAGATCCCCATGGCGGAGCAGATGGAGCAGAACACCACCAGAGCATAACAGAAGACTACCACGGCGGAGCAGAAGACCACCAGAGCATAGCTGAAGGCCACCATGGCTGAACAGAAGAACACCACGGTGGAACGGATGGGACAGAAGGCCACCGGAGCAGGCTAGAAGACCACTGCGTCAGAGTGGATGGAACTTTGGCCCACCAGAGCATGTCAGCAGACCACCACGGCAGACCAGACTGATCAGGAACCCATGGCAGAGATTGGGGCCTAGGGAAAACTGTTACACAAGAGACAGACAGTGCATTATCGGTCTCAGGGACTGAGGCAGGGAACACAAAAAGTTCATCAATAGTCTCCCTGGTGACAACTGAATGGCCAGACAGTTCATAAATAGGCTCACTGACTGAAACTGGACAGGTAGACAGTTCAAAATCAGACTCGTTTACTGAAAATGGACAGGCAGACCATTCAATGATTGAAACTAAACAGGCAGACACTTCACAGTCAGACTCCTTAGTTAAAATAGGACAGACAGATAACGGGGATTCAAATTCATTAACTAAAACTGGATAAACATGCTGTTCACATTCAGGCTCATTGACTGGAACTGTACAGACAGATAATTCAGAATCAAACTCATTGATTGAAACTGAGTTTTTCCAAAATTTATCCAAAGCGACTTACAAATGAGGACAATAAAAGCAATCAAAACTAACAAAAGAGCAACAATATATAAGTGCAAATGACAAGTCTCGGTTAGCCTAACGCAGTACACGTAGCAAGGTGTGTATATA